ATAGGTACGTAATATTACGAGGCATACGTTTTTAATGTAAATACCACGGGAAAACCTGTACTTTACCATATACAAATTAGGTTATTAGTATATTAATTTATAACAACGAAAGTTGGATCAGCGGAACTCTGTGGATGTTAAAACTGCGTGAAAATTACCTTGACACAAAGTATTCATCGAAGATTGAATGAAAAAGCAAAATACATTAAGACAAGGTAGTCAAATCGCAGTAATCTTGGATTACAATATTCACAGTTCAGATATGGGTTCCAGCTCATGACAAAGACCTGAATTCAACAGTAACTCTGGTTCTCCGGTCTTACTGAGGTTGAGAAGCAAATCGGCTACAACAGTCCTGTTCATAATTTTGCGTTGATGTTCTGCAACATTTTTACCAGTGCCATTATTTATTATTTAATTTAGAAAGATGTATTTTCCTTGACTCTACATATATGCCAACGTAATAAAATTCTGCATGAATGTACCCAACGTTGAAAAGGCATGCTGGGGAGTGCCTTAGTTTGTACATTTGATTTGAAGGATGATGATGAAGAAAAGAAAAACAAATGCAAGAGAAGACAACCCGCTGTAAGATACCAGTGACAAGGATAACGACAATAAATCTGATGATGACGATAAGAAAAATGAGGATGAACGTAATGAATTTGAATATGAACGTAATGAATATACTTTGCTGAAGCCTTTAATGCTGAAAACGAGCATCACTGCCTGGGCAAGGTAGCGGATTCACTAAATAATTTCTCCCAATCAGTGTAAAATGCAAACACGAGTTTCCACACATATGACCATGAACATGAGAATAAAGAAAACTCAACAAGATTGTGACTATTAATTCGGCAACGAAACAACCTCAAAAATTTCAGCTGCTCGACTGCAGACGCACATCTCTCAACATATTTATGCTAGCAATAGAAACGACTCCACTTCAGAGCAAAGCTTATAATTATTTACTGACCTGCATACCAAAGCGAACCATTTGTTTATAATTATGGAACACCACCGATTACAAAGGCAGGAACATATTCATAATTACTTATCTGTCTAATTTCGTAAAACTCGTTATCTCCATGAACACAAAGAAACTTCTACTGCAGTACACCAACAATATTCAAAAATTAAGTTTAGATCATTATACCTAATAGTTACACTAATTTGGAGCGAAAATTGACATATATGCATATCTTCAACCTGGAGGAACATCCTTTACGATATCGATGCACAGCCAAGACGTTTTACAGTCTGCTAGAAAGATCAGTAAGTAGGATTGAGAGAAAATTAGCCTTTACTTATGAGGCGTACACTTAAATTTTGTAGAAATCAACGAGAGAAAAAAACACCAGTGGGTTTGAACAAGAATCCCACGGGGAAAGAAACCATAGCTTAAAAAATTAAGGTCATGCAAAATAATTGTCAATTATGGAAATGAAACCTGTCATAATTTTTCCACCAGGGATAAAGACGAATTTCAAAAACTTTTTTCAGGATAATTACACACTGGAAGGGAAGTCGAATTTGAAAAATAAAGTAAACAGTAAATTTATGACTTTTCGAAAGGTACATTCTTTTTAATTTAAATGATTCGAAACAGATCAGAGACTTTCGAATACTCTGAATCAAGTTCGACTACGATCTCGCGTTTTAAAGTGGAGAACCATCTAAGGGCAAGGACGAACTTTTGGCAATTGCTCTCTATTTAGAAGACCAACATTAATGATACCAGTTTCATCGCTTGGTCGAAAGATGATGCAGCTAATGGGACGGTCGTTAAAATAAAAACGCAGATTCATGACTAAAGTTTAGAAACATTCGACCCGTTCAAGTGGCGCAGAGGATGTCATGAAGTGTACCTATTGAACTAGCAGAAAGTTTTTTAAGGTAAATACCAGTTCATGACTTATACGATGGAAATTTATATATCACTTTTACTTTGAATATAAGCATGTCTTTCTTAACTAGTTTTGTTAACCTCAACAATTTTTCGGCGATTTGAAAGAATGCCTTCCAGTTGATAATTATCATAACATGTATTTACCCATCTTTATATTGACCACAAAATTGAGGCATAAAAGAAAAGCGTTGATCAATTCAAGACTGCATATTTTGGATGCTCCTTTAAATCGATAGCTGAAGGGTTTTGCTTTTTATTTTCGTCCTCTAATGTTTAATTGCATAGCCTCTGAACAATCTACGAACCTGATACAAACTGTACTCAACATCTACGTTTGAGGAAACTGCTTTACACCTTCTCTTTCCCACAAGTTATTCGCAGTATGATGTAGCGATATGACGTACCTAGTCTGCCAGTTCTTAAGTTCAGCGAAGCCATGGGTTGAATGAAATTTCTCGAGGCATCAATAAGAAAGGGAACAGTATGAATTCACCTGATAAAACGGTTAAAGGTAAACTATTGTTCTAACATGCGGTATCTAAAGCTGCTATTGCCAATAGTCAGCCCAGAAAATCATTTTCATTCGGTGCACTTTTATAAAGTTCATTAACTGATAAAATTAAAATTCCTCTGTCGAAATTCCTTGAAAAATTTCTTCCAAAGTTAGATGTTTTCATTCGAAAAGTACCACGGAAATTTACAACAACTCGATTTGGCTAGGATAGGAAAAGGTTCAAGATAACAAGGCTAAGGTTGTTATCACATGGTTACGGCAAAGTTTCGGAGAGGCCTTCTCGCAGAAGTGGATCGGAAACGGCTGATGGTGATGACTAGAATTATTGGTTTACACAAAGAGAATTCTCAGTTCCTCCCTGTTCTGATAAGTCCAAATGTTACACATATTTCACCTGCATTTTCTGATATCCTCCGCAAAGTACCATCTGTTTGCTCTCGCTTATTTTAATTACATTTTTCCATTCACTGCTATGCAATATGATGAAAATATTGCATCCTGTTTTTTTAAAAGGCAGTTCATTTACGATCAGCGCAATTCACGCCACTTATTGATGGATAAATCAATATCGATGTTTCTGTTTTTACCCCATGAGTCTTCATTAAGATCGATCACGTTCACTGCGTTGCTAATGAATAGTCTTTCTTGTATTTCTCAATATGCCTAAGAATACAGTAATCAATGCTATCGCTATGAATTAATGAAAAATGGCTGACGAAAAATCAATTGTGGCTTCCGTTGTTTCATTATAGACCGTTATGAGGATAATGATGACCCTCCATTGCTGCTGTAACAGCTATGTTCAGGAACTCAACTGCAGTTCAAATTGTCACGATCCTGCACTTTTCAGAAAATTGAAGAAAAGAATATCAAATTGTGATGGGGCAAGATGACAGCCTTCTGGCTTCGCCGGTAAGTATATTCCTATAAATACTAATAACGGATTTATACGGCGATGCTGTGTCAAAGTATGATGCACGGCGGTCATAACATTAAGTTGTGAGTCAGTACTGTACCACTACCCGAACTTTTCGTTTGTCCATTGTCTGCAATAGGCTAACCGAAGGTTAGTTGCGCAGAGTTTGCCTATATGTGCTAGCAAAAAGATTCTTGGAAGTTCGTAGAATATATTAAACTGAG